TGGCCAAGCGCCCGCCTCGTTAACCTGTCTGAAGGCAGTGCTGAGAGCTGATGAGTAGCTGTTAACCTGAGAGAGAGCTGATGAGTAGCTGTTAACGTCTCCGTTGGATAAGGGAGTTCGTGACCTGAGGTTCTTAAGACGTGCCTGAAGGTCACTGGCAAGTGGCTTTTGTTTTGGTGATTTGTTTTCTTTCTTTCTTTTTTTTTTTTTTTTTTTTCAATCTTCCTGCCTTTGTATGTAAGCACAAATAGAATTTATTGTCTGTATTTAGATTATTGGATTTTTTTCAAACCTTGCTGACATCTAAGGATGTAGGTACATAAACATCGATGCACACTAAATCATCAAGTCCATCCTTGCTTTTCTGGATGGGAATGCACTATTCACCTGTCTTTTCAGAGCAGAGTCCAAAGAAAATGTCTTAAGAACTGAATAAGACAATTTTTCCCCCAACTGAAGTTCTATTAGGGGTTTTTTCTGGAATAGTATGTTCTATTTTACCATTGGAACCTAATTAGATTTTACTTAAATAGAGCAGGTTTTAATGCTATGAGAATGCTTTAAGACATGATTTTCATAGAATATTTAGAACATCTTTAAGTGCTTTTGGTAATTGGATTGATTCCGGTTCTTTAAGTGGATTCATGAAGGTATATTGGATTTACAAATGAAGAGATTTGATGTGTTCTGTCAGCAAAACGGGTGCCCAATTCCAAATGATCCGCACAAATCTCTTATTTATGAAAGTGGCAGCACTCTTGGCTTGGCAGAGAGCTGCTAGGATACTTCCTAGCTTGTGCTTTGTTGTAGGGAGTATGAACACAATCCAATAGTCCAATAATTAAGGTATTTAAGTCAGATGAGGGAAAATTTCTTGCCCTGCTTTTTTTGAGGCAATGCCTCTATCAGATTACTCGTATTTTTTTCTGACAGTATATTGCAAATTTTCCACTTTGTTAGGTTTTATGGGAGGGTTGATGTTTTCTAAATCCATGTTGGAGCAAGGATAGCTGTATCCCAGATAAATGTTATACCCTGCAAGGCAGTGGGTTTTTTTTTATTCTCTCTGCTGTGAGAAGCACTGCATACATCCTGTTGAAAACAGAAAAATAAACCTTTACTGTAGCAAAACAAACAAAACCAACCAACCAAACGTGGCCCTGATGACATTGTGTGGGAATTCTTTTTTTTTTTTTTTTTTTTTTTTTTTTCCTCCATAAAGGTGGCTCTAGGTTGGATCACAGAGTGATTCTATCAGCAATGGCTGAGTCCTACTATCAGGGAGTGCAAAAGTGGCTTAAACCTGCCTTTAAAATCCTCTCTCTTTTTGTGGGTGCATCTGGCATTTTTCTGTTTCAGAGTTTGCTACCAAAATCTTGATGTAGTTATTGTTGTTTATTAAAGTTAATGGTTGATATACAGCAGTTCCATTATTTTTTTTTAAGTTCTGTGAGAGATGAGCTTCTTTGAAAGACTAGAGAAGACTATTTAGATTTATTTTTCTGTCCTAACAGTAGGAACATGAAAGCAGACTTCTTTCAAAACATTATAAAATGTTTTGTTATAGGATTGTGCTTTCTATTCTGTATCAGTGATGTAGTGTGGACTGACCAAAACCTGGTGTTGCTGAGCCTAAGCAACTCTCTAGAAGAATATTTTTATATTAGCTAACAGGAGAGCTCGTGTCATAGCTAGCATAGGAGTGAAGGTACAATTTTTCAGCATGTAAAATCCAGCCGTGCTTCTTTCCCATTGTTCTAAAGCAGATGTGTTTTGCTTTTTTAATCTAAATGTCTTGGAGAACATGAGAAAATCAGTTCTGAATAATGTCTTTTCTTCCATAAAAATATACAGATACCTTTTGGTGAAATAAAGGAAGATTTGGATGCATGCCTTGATGCTTTGGCACAGCACCTTAGTCTTGTACTTCAGCATCTGCTGCTGACAAGTTGAGCTGCAGAGTTCTGAGGGCTCCTTCTGCTGTGGGCTGAGGGGCCCTTTAATGGGATTCCTCTGGAAAGTTAAATTTTGATAGGAAATGTTTCACATTCCACGGCTACAGATAACCTTTCAAAACACTACACAGGTGATAAGTTATGAAAACTATTTACTTCTCCCTAACTCCTTGTCAGTACTTTGACTGTTCATAATGAGACTTTAGCTTCCTTTCCTTCGTTGTTGTGTGAGAGATCCACGTGCATGAAAGGAAAAAGCATGTTTCATAAATAGGAAAATGTGACTATAAAAATTCTGAAACAGGCAGTGGGGAGTTGGAGTCATGCCTCTTAAATTATTTTTAACTTTGTGTTGAAACTTGATCAGATGACCTGTTTATTGAGATCCATCAGTGCTTCTACATATTTATTGTTATCTTACAGTATCTAAGGTTTGCCAGAATTTAAATGTGGGTTATCTTTTTGTAACTATGTGCATGTTTTAGTTTACCAGGAAATTTCACCTTGCTATGAGAACCAAAGATGGATCCAGAAGAGCAGGAATTACTTGGTGATTACAGATACAGAAATTATTCTTCAGCAATTGAGAAAGCTTTGAGAAACTTTGAATCATCAAGTGAATGGGCAGATCTTATATCTTCCCTTGGCAAACTCAATAAGGTACAGTGTCACAGGAGTGACTTTTTTTTGTTATCTTTGTATTGTTATTATTTTTTCTGTAACTTAAAATACTTAGCAAAATTGAAAATTCACTCAAGAAAAGTATTAGTTCATAAAAGAAGGGTAATGGAAGCAGCTAAGTCAGCACCTTTCCGAAAAATGTGAGAAGCTCTGGTAAAACCAAGGGAGGTTTCCTTCAATGTTACCTGTTGCCTTTATACAGCTAAGTTAATTTAGGTTTTTTGCATTGAGAAACTCTCAGGATGCTGGTTACTCTAGAGCAGCAAAAAAAAGTCTTTATATAGAACAAGACATCAAAAGTTTTAGTATATATTTGAGTGAAGTTTGTATTTAAAGATCTTATTTACTTGACAATACCTTTCCCTTGTATTTGGGGAAATAATTGATTTGCTGCTGGTAGTGTCTTTTGTGTGACCATAGAAAATATGGCTGGATATAGGAAGAAATAAAAAGACTTTTATGGGAAAACACCTGGGAAGTGTGTCTTCTTCTCCTGCCCAAGAAACAAGGTGTATGTTGTTTGTGTCCCATTTGGTCTCTTTTAACATAAAGCTCTTCCTGAGTGTATGTGGGGCAAGAGTAGTTACAGTCACTAAGGAAATAGGGGTGGGAGGAGGCAGCTTCTGCAGAATTCATAAAAGTGTCTGTTGTTACCTGACAGCTGCCTCACATGCCTTTGCTGTCATTGCTAAGCCTTAATCCTACAGAGTTTTCAAAAGGGAGGAGAATCCATAGAATTATAGAGTATCTCGAGTTGGAAGCGACCCACAAGAAGTCCAACTCCCTGCTCCTCTCAAGTTTACCTAAAACTAAACCATGTGACTAAGAGCATCTACCAGACGCTCGTTGAACTCTGACAGGCTTGGTGCCACGACCACTTCCCTGGGAGCCTGTTGCAGTGACCGACCACCCTCCCTCAGTGAATAACCTTTTCCTAATGTCCAATCTGAACTTCCCCTGACGCAACTTCATTCCATTTCCTCATGCCCTATCGCTGGTCACCAGAGAGAGGAGATCAGCACCACCCCCTCCACTGCCCCCCCTTGAGGAAGTTGCATTCTGAGATGAGGTCACCCCTCAGCCTTCTCTTCTTCAAGCTGAACAAACGAAGTGACCTCAGCCGCTCCTTGCCTTCGAGACCTTTCACCATCTTGGTTGGCTTTCTCTGGACACGCTAATAGTTTCATGTCCTTATATTGAGGTACACAAAACTGCACACAGTGCTCGAGGTGGGGCTGCACCAGTGCAGTGTGGAGTGGGACAATCCCCTCCTTCATCCAGCCCTTTTGGCTGCCAGAGCACACTGTTGACTCATACTCAACTTGCCATGAACTGAAGCCTCCAGATATGTTTCCAAAGGGCTGCTTTCCAGCCTTTCTTCTCCCAGTTTGTATGTATGTCCCAGGTGGAGGATCTGGCACTTGCTCTTGCTAAATGATTAGTGATCTAAGTGATCACTTAAGACGGTGATTGCCCAGCTCTCTAGTCTATCCAGATCTGTCTGTAAGGTGCCTCTACCCTCGAGGGAGTCCACAGCTCCTCCTAGTTTAGTATTGTTGGCAAGCTTACTTAATGTACACTCGATTCCTGTGTTCAGATCATTTATAAAACCATTAAAGAGCACTGGCCCTAAAACTGAGCCCTGGGGAACCCCACAGGTGACTGGCTGCCAGCCTGATGTAACCCCATTTACTATAACCCTTTGGGCCCTACCCGTCTGCCAATTGTTTAGCCAATGTATTATGGACTTATCTAGCTGTGTGCTGGATAGTTCACCCAGCTTGCTAAATAACAAAAAACCCAGTATCTACTGGCTTCCTTTGGTCTGCTAGATGGATGACTGTGCCATAAAAGAAAATGAAGTTGGTTAAGGAGGACTTTCCCCTTGTGAACCTGTGCCAGCTATGGCAAATGACTCCATTGTCTCTCAAGTGCTTTTCAATAACTCCCAGAATAACCTTCTCCATAATTTTACCCGGTGCTGAAGTGAGACTGACAGGCCTGTAATTATTAAAGGTCTTCCTTCTTACCCTTCTTGAAAATTGGGACATTTGCCAAATTAAGGTTTTTTTTAAGGGCAGCCATGTTCTTTCCTCTTCAGAGGAGAGAAGATGGATATTCCTCTGGCGACATGAGGTACGCATTTCTGCCTTCACTGTTTCATTCTGGTTCCTGTTGAGTCAATAAGGAGAGCTAGAGGCCTTCAGAATGCTTCTCTCAAAAGGGAAAACAAGAAATAATAAGAGTGAGAGATTTCTTACCTGTGGCAAGAGGTAGGCTTTGATGTTTTATATTGACCTAGATGAGCATACTGAACTGATTAACACCTATATGAAACTCTTATTTAAGTACAGAATTGCCAAAATACATAGCGGCATAATAGAAAACAAGCAAAAAAGCTTTTAGCTGTTACATCAGTCCATCTGCTGTGGTATTTTATGGACTTAATCGTTTTAGGAGCTTAAGAATTGGTAGAGCAAATCGTCCCCAGTGTTCATCTGCTTCTTTCTGTTGTCTGAAAATAAGGGTGATATGTCACGGGAATGTGTTGCCAAAAGGAAGATTGTGAAATAAGATGACAATAGTTATTCTCTTAAGTCCTATGATTTCTTGGTTTCTTACATCCTAAAACATAAGTATTGTTTTTGAGTTCTGTTAGTGTGGGGGGGAGGGGAGGTGTTTCTAATATAAGAGCATAGTTTCTTGTACAGTCAGTTCTGAGAGTGAATGAATGAGCAGGGAGAGAATGGGTAGGAGGGAGGAGATCAACAGTATCTCAATGATAAAGATGTTTTTAAACACTACATATGGCTATATTCAGGAACCTGGGTGTCAGTAGCTAGTGTGCAGTGATGCCTATTATTAAGCAAATGTGAAAATGCTGAGAAAGGGAGAGGCAAAGAGAATGAGTAAGTGGAGGAGTTTCGGAAGTACTTTTCATGAGAGTAGGATGGAAGATCTCTGTTAAGCATACGTTTCTAAGGATCTTTGTATTGTTGACTTTAATTGTGGGTGTTCTTGCTTATATAGGCATAATGTTTTCTGAGGCTTTTTCTCCTATAGGCAGACTTCAACAATACTTTGCACTATTGAGTCCCGCAAGTTAATACGCTCACACGCGCGCACTCTTATTTCTGTAGAAGGTCAGTGGCAATACAAGGTCTGGAGGAATCAGCACGGGCTTTTCTTGCTTAAAGATGAGGGGAAAAAGAGTGGAGGGAGCTGATCCAAATGCCTTTGTCTTGGCTGAAACAAATGATCCTGGAGCTCTTGCTGCTGTTGCTCCTGGTGAAAAGACAGCTCTGCTACTTCTTTCTATTACTACTTAGCTACAAAGGTTAAACTGAAGGTTGTTTTTCACCGTTTCCCTGTTGTTTCTATGTGTTTTAATGTTTCACAGTGACTTGTAGAACCAGGGAAGCAACAGAGAAACCGTTTGACTTTCATCTGGATGGTCAGCCAAATGGGTCAGTTTGTATATCTAAGAAAGGTTATTTTTTGTCACTTAAGGGAGATGAGCCTTATCTAACTTCAGATGATTCTGTGTGGACAGTTGCACTTTGAATCACTTTTAGGCAGGGAGAGGAATAAGGGGGGTTATTTTTTGTTGTTGTTATGACTCATCTCTTACTATTTAAAGTAGGTCAGATGAATGCTGTCCTAAAATTACACGTGTTCCTCACTGGTTTTGTAGGGAGCCTGACGTGAATTGCTACAATTTTCCCCACGTTTTTTAGCTGACCTGGATTTCTAAGGTTAGGTAAGATGAATCTCCCCTGCAGTGCTCTGAGCAGAACTGCAGGTAGCAAGTGTGAGCGTGAGCAAAGGATGGAGAGAAACTGCATTTTCTAAGAAAAGCTAGAGTTGGCAGAATTTGCTAACTTATGCTGCGCCCTGAATTTGTAAGGGAAAGATTGTGGGGTTTTAATTTGTATAGTGTGGATGTTATGTGTCGTCATAATGAAGGAGAAACAGTGGAAAGTAGTGTTTATAAATACTTGTAGAAGAATATAAATGGACAGATGCAAACAGCTGGATTAAAGAGACAGTAAATATGGATGTTAATGTTTTAAAGAGGGCCTTCAGATTTGCCCTGAAACTTACTCATATTCCAGTTGTAAATCTCTGTTGCCCTCTGTGCTTTGCTCCTGTTCAAGCTTTAGTTACTATAAACCAGTCATTTAGTAGTTGCAGCCTAGGCTGCTCTATGCTTCAAGAAATAAGATTATTCTCTTCTCAGTACTGTTCACGGGTACAGCTTTGAACCACACTTTTATTGTTTTTGCAAATCTGCATATGAGCACTGTTTTGTGACTGAGGTTTTCAGATGTTCAGTGCAGATTGCTGCATCCAGAATACAGTAATCCTTTTCAATTGTTTTAGTGCTGAAATGTGATTGTGCTATTGCAGATTTGTTCCAATGTTTTAAAAGGATACAACTCTGCAAAATCACTTTGATAGAAAAAAAAATGCTGGGAAGGGAGAGCTGTTGTCTTTCTAAACATAGAAATAGGTGGTGGTTCAGTGTATGTGGGCTTGTCAGTCAAACAGGTGCTTTTAACATCATTCTCATATCCAAAATGCTTGTCACTGTCTATTCAGAGTATAAAGAGATATGTGTATTATATAAATTACATATAAAAGTATTCATGTAAGGGGAACTTCAGGCAACTAAGAGGCTAGAAATACTATGAAGACAGGAAAATCCAAATGCGTAGATTGCATTAGGGGTTTTAATCCAGATTAGAGGCATGTATTTTCTACAAATTTTAAATCTAGGTACAGGCAATGCGTAGATGAGTGACAGTTTGCAAAACGAAGAGCTGGGCAGTAGTAAATATTGGATTCCACAGCCTGCTTTTGTAAGGAAACTGTGAAAGGAGGTTTTTCAAAAAGTCTCTGAAATTTACTGACTCACAGAATAGCACAAAATCTCACTGTGTTTTTGGTAAGTCAGTGTTTAAACTCACCTGTTTGTTTAATCCATATATATTAAAAAGCAACAACAAAAAACCCAACAACAAAACCACCAACCAACCTACCAAAACCCCCTACTCTGTGTCTGTCTGACAAGAAGAGTGGACAGGATTTTGCTATGCATATTGGCAGAAATGCTTCTGTCAACAATTTTTTAACAGTATTTGTATGTCAGTGGTATGGAACTTGCACAGAAGCTTTGCTAGTGACTCTTGCCACTCAGCCTGGCTGGAAGGTAATGTCCCTTTTCTGAGCAAGATGTCAGTTATTGTTCACCATGAAAACAAAATATTATAACCTTTGAAAAATGGATTGTTCTAGAGGGTTGTATTTTATGCTTACAGCGTGATTGACTGGCTCAGTAATGATAGCAATATTTGCTCTAAAAGAGCACTTTCAAACTGCTTTTTATCCTTGGACATAACACAAGTGTGTAAATGCACAGATTATAAATTCTTACAATACTAATTTTTAGTCTTTAGTCTGCAATTTCAAAGTATTTTTTTTAATTTGACTTTGAATAGAAAATCAGTATGTTACTTTTTGTTTCTGTAGGCTTTTCTTGCTTCCAAAACTTGAAGGTGAATGTGATCTCAACCAAACACTTGATCTGTTTGGAGGGGAAGGAAGGAGCACAAAAATCATTGCAGCTGCACAACTATTGTTTGTTTCACTAGTAACACTTGATGTTACAATATGTCTGGTCTTGAGGGGAAAGAAGAGAAGGATTCTTCTGAAATACAGATTTAATGAGCATAGGCATTAATTACACCAGTTGCTTCATATGAGAACTCTGACTGCCACGGCTTTATAGCTGTGGCTGAATTACAAACACAAGCACCACTTGCCTTCTGTTGAAGGCAGGCCTTGTACCTTTGCCTCCTAATTGCTTTATGGAACTTTACCACACCTGATGCACAAATGCGATGTGCAGGACTAGGGATGTTTTATACATCTTTTTTGATCCCCTTTTCTAATATCACTTCAGCTCCTAGTTTACAGTTTCCTCACAACCATCTTTGAACTTCATGCTGCTATTTTTATGGAAGCTGGAGTTCTATTTAGAAATTTTTTTACTTACTTGGAAAATGAATCAGTAGAAAATGGAATCACAGGCTCCTTTCCCACTGCTGTGGTCTAAAACAAGAGTTATAGTATCTCCTAGTTGAAGATAATCATATAAATCAATGCACATGCTGCATTTTTCTGGAATTCCAGTTATGTAAATAAAAATACTTACTTGATTTGCATGGGTTTTTTATGTCTAGGTAAATTGATCGAGCTGATCTCTAGTGCTATAAAGCAGTACAGAATGACTTAAACCGGTAACTGTGGAAATGTGAATATTCCTCTGTGTGTCTGTGCTTGTTCTGTTTTTAGGCACACTTGTACACTGCTGCAAAGAATAGATAGTCTTCCCATTCTACCCTTTATGGCCCACATTCAAAGAAACTGAGCGTGCTTATGCATTAGAAAATGTTTAGTGTGTGTAATGTACTCTCTAGTCAGTCATAAAGGAAAAGAACATGTAAAAAGTTGAAAACTGGACATGCGTGTCACTACTCTGCATGTCTTATTTTTTCCTGACTTACTGATTAAAGTCTTTATTTTAAAAGCCAGCAGTAGATGAAATGCATCTTGGTTTTCTGGGATTGTTGATTTCTCACTGATCTGTGAAAATCAAACCCTGGGATGATATATTAAGTGTGGAGTGCTTGCTGGCAGCTTAGGCTTCTCAAGCCAACCCCTGCTAGGAGTTCCAGTGACATTTAACACTTCTGCCACCATAACTGCTCATGTGGAAAGCGGTTGGAGACAAGGAGGAAAAGTAGATCATGGGTGGGCTTCAGCACGTATGTAGCTGAACATGGTCAAATTAAGCTCACAAGAATCAAAAGAACGGGTGAATGATAGATGTCAAAATCTGTGAGCAGAGTTGTCCACCTGCCGTTGTTAGTGTTGGATTCTGAATGTGGAAGCAATGGTGTGGGATGGAATCTTCATCTGCATACAGTGCCAATGATACCAGGCTTGCTATCACAAAATTTAACTACCTGTTACAGCTGAAATTAAAATGGCATTTCAGCTGTCCTAGGTCTGACAGACAACTGATTTTTATTTTTTTTTCAGTTGTGGGAGCTCAGGATGTTTAAAAATCAAGCTGCTTAGCTTTGTCTGTTGGCTCACAGAAACTAATTGGCATTTGGAAATATATATATTATCATATCAGTCATTTCAATGAACAGTTTTAGATCCGTCCGCTAATTAATGTCTTTCAAACCTTTTAAAATTCATTGAGCCGTGCAATTCTGGGGAAGCTGTTAAGAATGTGAACATTTCAGCAAAGTAGCAGCCAGCCCACCTCTGCTGGAATGGCTCTTGATGCAACCACAGTCTTCTAATATGTTGCAGTGTGGTTTAAAATCCCTTGCATCTGCTTAAAGATCAGAGACAGCTGTTAACTAGGAACACCTACTCTTGAGAGAATTGTAGCTTGTGTCCAACTGTGTATTTCTTCAACCCAAGTCAGAAAAAAAGACTACATGCTTTTAAGGGGGGAGTTTTCTCTCTGGATTGTTCTGATGTGATGGGCAGAAACTCTCCTCAGCTTATGTATGAGGATCATAACAAGCATCTTCAAATCTTGCTTCCTGTACAGAGATGTCTTCTGATTCTTTATGTGAAGCAGTATAGCTGGGACATGTACACGAATGTAGTCTTGTTCTAAGTTAGTCTCACCTGCTGGAATTTGGATGTACGAAGGTTTCAGAGTTGCCCGGGAGAAATACTTAACACTGAATTATCTTGAATATCCACTATTCAACTCCTAAGATGCCTGGAGTATTTTTTCCTCTTCTGACTAAATGTTTTCCTTGGCTATCCTGATGTTTGTGGAAGGAGAGTTTTTTATTTGCTGGTGGAGATGTACTTTACATCCTTAGGAAATCAAATAAGCCAAACCACTTTTTTTATGAGATAGCATTATTTCTGTAATGGATCAGATTCCCTGTGTAAAAAAAAAAAGCGAATATTTTCATTTTCTACCTAGTTGATATTTAAATTTTAACTGATGGAATATTAAGATGGTATTTGTTCAATCTTAAGATTGAGGGGAAAAATATTTACCACTGGCATATTTTTTTGTAATTGCTTTCTTTTATATATACAGAGGGTGTGGGCAAATACACACCAACCAATATAAACAGAATGTTTCAAAGTCCAGCTTTGAAGCAGTCTTCAAAGTTATTACATGTATTAAGGATTTCAGTCTGTAGTATTGAAATAATATTATTTGTGTAATATATGAGTAAATGTCTCAAATATAAAAGATATGAGATAACTCAAAAAATATAGCCTGGTTTAGTTTCATATGTGAAATATTGCTGTATTGTTGGATTCTAGTTTTTAATAGCTATTAAAATGCAGATCTCATGCTCGTAGCAGAGGAGGGAAGGAAGGAAATTGGCTCTAAATGGCATCTGTCCTGTGTATTTAAGAATGGTGTGACCTTTCTGTTTACTGTTGTTACAAACTCTCAACCTTTTTCCTCTCAAGTAAATTTTGTTTACTAGAAGCTCTTTACTAACAGCTGGTCTCTCAGTTTAGGCAGGGCAGCAAATGGGAGAAATAATGCAATAGTAGTCTCACAGATTCTAGCTTCTCATGCCCACCAACTGCAGTCTTAAACGATAACTTGCACGCACCTTTGAAAGATGGTGGGTTTTACCTCTTCCTCTTGCTGCTGATGAGAATATTCAGCATTCAAGTGAATGCCGCGATCACTGCTGAACTGTTTTGGGGTTTTTTTCTTGGAAATGAGCAAGGAAAGGTTAGTCCACTTTGCTGCTTTTTCAAAACACTTTTTTAAGGCAGCATAGAAGAACCTCAAGTTTTAATCAATTACGTAGGGTAAGACCATGACTTAACCTTTGCGAGAGTCAACGATTTGCCTAGTCCTGAAAACATCCTAAATGTGAAACATCTGTTTGCCTTAGCAGACAGTGATCAAAGGCTAAAGTGCCATTTACTTGCAATTTCTTTTTTTAATTGTCTCTGAATTGAAGAGACATGCTTAACTACCCTGCTGAAATGCGTGCATGGTTCAAGGAAAAGGGTAATCTTTCCAAAGAAAGGTACTACAGCTCTGTTACTTCCAGTGACCTGCCCTGTCTGCAATACTTGGCTATTTCCTGTCCTGAAGATCTTTTACCTATACATCAATACAGCGGGTATAGTTAATAAAGCTTACTGAACGTAGCCACACAGAATTACAAATAACTTCTAAGATGTTATTGTCCAATTTAATCATGCCAGTTTGGGGTAGAAGGATTTTTGTTTGTATTTCAGCTATATGTGAAATGAAAATTTATGAGGAAAGATAGTTATTTAATTCTTGCTTTATTCCCTGTCCTTAAAAGCTGAGAGGCTGCTCTTGTCCATTCCCTACTTCCACTTGAGATACAATAAGGGTACCTTGTCCCTGTCCTGTTCTTTGACTTCTATTTCCAACCTCTAAGCAAAGTAAGACCAGACTTTTCTAGATTGTTCGTGACTGATTCCATATGGAAAATCAATTGCAGAATTCTGCTGTTTTGGTGTAACAAAATGCATTTATGAGAGAAAACTCTTGAATGTATTTAGTTCTTCTCTGTGTGCTAGTAGGAAACCTTTGAGATGCAGTCATCATATACATCATCTTTTACATTATAGCTATTTGTTCTCATCTCCTTTCTTCCACAGGCTCTTCAGAGTAACCTGAAGTATTCTCTGTTGCCAAGACGGCTGATCATCAGTAAAAGATTATCTCAGTGTTTGCATCCAGCACTACCTAGTGGAGTGCACTTAAAGGCACTAGAAACCTATGAAATAATCTTTAAAATTATTGGCACAAAATGGCTTGCCAAGGATTTATTCTTGTACAGGTAAACTTTTCTTTAAAGGCGTATGCATTTCACAGTCTATTTTAATTAAATAAATTTTTTTCTTACTTTTTTTCTATTACTTTTTTTTTTTTTTTTTAAGCTCTGGTTTGTTTCCTCTGCTGGCAAATGCAGCAATGTCAGTGAGGCCTGTTCTCCTTGGTTTGTACGAGAAATACTTTCTTCCTCTCCAAAAGTCCCTCCTGCCTGGTCTTCAAGCCTTTGTAATTGGACTCTTGCCTGGATTGGAAGAAGGATCAGAAATTTATGACAGGTGAGAACTAATATTAATTTAAAAGCAATATACAGTATTTCTCGCTCCCAGGGAATTCTCAAGAAATTTGTGTCAGCTTTCTATATAAAAGACTTGATAAAACAGCTTCTAAGGGTAGAAGAATGGCGAGTCCTTGAAAGATGCAATGAATAGTACTAAAGTAAAAAAAAACCACTTTCCTTTTCTAGTTTCATCTCAGGAGGACAAGAGGAGATGAGATGAAAAGGAAGCTTGAAAATAGACATGCTGAGAGAAAGGAATAAAACCTATTTTTTAAAGCTCCTCTGAACTCCTAAATAAGTAATGTGACTACCCAAACCATTGCTGTGCCGATAAATTCTGTTTAAATATTGTAACGTGAGAGAACAGTGGAATTTTTTCCAGTCTTTCTATACCAGATACTTACCCTCTGGTTCTGAAAACATGAGTAATAATCTATTGTGGAAAAATCTATTGTGGAAAAAAGTATCTCTCTCTTGGATGCCCTTGGCAGTAATGATGATGGCATTCAGTACAATAAAGTCGGGATCAGGAAGTATGCTGAGAAGAGCAGCTCAGCACCCGTTTGTGTACTGGTTTTACTTCAGTTACCAGAATTGTTTTGTAAGATCTTAGAAGAACTTAACCACTGTAGGTTTCATCCAAATGTTTCTTCATTTAAAGAGTCACTAAACGTTGCACTAATAATGTACTTCCTTCTGTATTGCCAGTCTGGCTATGTTTGGTGTCTCTCTGCCCTTTTTGAATCTTAAATAGCTGTGTGTACACGTGTAAAAAAAACAAACAAACAAACAAACAAAAAAAACCACAACAACAAAAAAAACCAAAACCCCCAGTGAGATATGCTAGGCTGCATAGATTTCAGTTGATAAGCAAAATACTTCTACCTCTAATGCCTCTTTTCAAAAACAAGTGGAGTGCCTAAGAGTAGATTGCATGTGTTCCCAACTTGGCGAGTAGCATTCAGTTGCCAATTCCAGAACATCAGATCTATGGTCAAGTATATTCCTCTTACACATCTGCTGTAGAAACAGGAATTTTACTGTGTTTTTTGTCAGTCGAGCTTATAAGTGACGGTGTGTAGTTTTCTCTTTCTTACAGCGCTAGTTTCTGGGGACTTTGGGGAGAAGGGAGCTCCTTTGGAACTAAATCTCCTGTCTATCTGAAGCCTTTTTAGGGAGACTGAACTTATTTTGAAACTGACTAAATTCGAAGTAGTGAGTTAATGGGAGCTGCAGATTAACTTCCAGGATCCAACTTCTGGTTTTGTACCTTTTTTCCCTATTCTTGGTGCCATTGTTTTCCTTTGCCTTGAACAAACAGAATCACAGACAGGAACTGACCATCTATTTTGCTGTGAAAGATTTATGCTAAAATTAATTTAATGTTATTTTGTGAAATACAAAAATTATATGAGAAAGTCTTTCATTAGTTTCCTCATTGTAATGATTTTGGTGTAAGAAAGACAGACCAAGATATCTTGTTGGAAGATGTGTTAGATTGATTTTAAATTCAGCTTCATGAGAGACTGTCCACTGAAGGTTTTCAGAATCTTCAACATTGAGGACTAACAGTAATACATCCCAGCTGTTCCTGAAAGTGGCAGAAGTACTAGCTCAGGTCGTGCTTCAGCCTAGACACCATTTCCTCCTTAAATACATACATATGCGTGATTTTGGATGCACACACAAAATGGAAAAGAAAAAAATGTCTGCAGGACTGCTTTATAAAGAAATGGAAAAGAACATCAGACTTGGGGGGGGGGGCTGTCCCCCTCTTCTATGCTGGACTTCTTCCTCTTTTCTCACATCTGCATTCCTCACGTGAGGTTTTAATTCTTGCGTTATTGTAAAATATCAGAGTACCCACAGAGTTGCCAAAGCAGAGAATGTCACAGGACCTCCAATGTGATTGTCTTTAAACTAATTTACTAATTTCAGTGTACCAGTCCTGTGTGCAATAACTGACAGTGTGTCATTTTAGCTTATGTTTTTTTTCTTCCGGTGACTTATAAATTGAGCCCTTTTTGATTTGTAAGTATAAATATGTAGGATATCTTCCAGTTCCCAGACTGATAAAATTTACTTTCAGAGTCTGGCATCAGCTTAAATTATTTCCAATTCAGCATTGCAAAATGTTTACAGTGAGAGTTGTGTAATCAGACCTACTGCAGTAATTTGGTCAGAGCTTAATGCTTGCTGATGATAATGGGAGAAATTTCCAAAGTACACACAGAAACTTTCTTTCAGTCAGTGTTCACAGTCACAAAGGACTGAGTGTTTTTTAATTGTTTTTGTACAATCAGATGCTGGCAATCTTCACATGAAAAGGGCAATACTGATAATACAAAGATGAGGAAATGAAATAATGTCAACTGCAATACTAATTCTGTGTATAATTGCCTTTTTATGCTATAGAACTGAACTAATAATAGTCTATTTTCTCATGTCAAATATATTTCCATACAGAACAGATGCTCTGCTTGTGAAGCTCTCCTTATTGATGGGCCAAGAAACGTTCTATGGAGCACTCTGGGGCAGTGTCCTGGTCAGCCCATCCATCAGGCTGCCTGCTTCTCTTTTTGTTGTCAACCACATTAACAGAGAGCTGCCTGGAAAACAGCAGAAGCACATGCTTGGCACCGATTATAAGCTCACAGTAAGTTCATTACAATCCTTGTAGAACAGTCTTATCTACCGTAATACCTGCATACTAGCAGATTGTGCCTTCTCTGTATTCGGTTAGAATGAGATGCTCTTAAAAATGTTTTGGAGAGAGAGGAAGAGAGGCTGATGGGAATTGCTTGATATGGTTACTTCATGGGAGCGCCTTACCTGAAATATAGCAGAGAATCTCCCATACTGATTTTGGTTAGCCTGCAGAATGCAAGTCTTCTGGAGCTTCTGCAGTTTCTGGTAATCAGTACTGCACACTGCCTTGAAAGACTGACTGTGTTTTTGAATCAGAAGATAAACCTTACATTTTTTCTCTACTTGTTCTGAATTTTCTATAATACAGTATATACAATGTTTAATGTGGATTTCTCAAAGTGTTTGAAGTCTTGGACAACAATTCTGAAATTTAGGGGGGAGGGGTTGGTTTGGTGGTTTTTTTGGTTTGGTTGGTTGTTTTTTTACAGTAAAATGGAAATCTTCAATAGGTAGTAATTTATGTTAAACGAGTGATAGAATAACTGTAGTACTAGTTAGAGTACTTTAATATCTGCATTTTGTGAGGCTTCGTGTTCTGTCAGCTGGTGATGTCGCACTGTGACACTCTATTGTTACAAAACCAAGTATTTCATAAGTATTAACAATTCTTTTAACAAAACTTTTTTTAAAACTCATTTTGGGGGCAGGAATTAAATGGATAAGTAATTACCCTGTTCTTTAAAAAGATATTGTTCACATGTAACCAAGTTTGCTTTGTTTCCTTCTTGTGATTATTAACAGTGATTGTAGTTTAAATGTTATCATGAAGTAAAACAGCACTGTGCTCTCTTTTCATTTTACAGATAAAGTCTTTGTGTGTATCAGTATTGGATTCAAATGTCCTTGTGCAAAGAAACACTCTAGAAGTGATTCTCTTCTTCTTCCCATTTTATACAGCTTTGGTAAGAGGACTATTTTGGTACTGTCGCATGCACGCTTTGTGCGGGAAGGTGTCTTCTGTGAAACCAGTCCAGCTCCTACCTCTGAACTTTGTACCTTCAAAATCAATGAACAGATGCAGTTTCTTGTCCCTCCCATCAGTTTTAATAATAGAGGAGACTCTGCTTCTTCTTTCTTACGGTTTCAAATTAAGATGTGCTTTTACAGTGAGTATTGTGTGATATTTGGAATGTGCTTGAAGTATTCAGGCCTGAGAAACTGCATCTGGAAAAAATATCATGCTCCTTTTTCGAGCAGGATTTCAGCATTTGGAATTGTCTGTGCTAAGCTAAGATACTTCTGTTAAAGACTAGGAAAGAAAATATTGCTTGAAACAAGAGCTGTTTCCTGTAATTTCCTAACTTACCTAGTAGTATAGCTGGTATTTTGAAAGTAGCAAGTAGTTTTAAGTCTTAAGGCATAACATAATGAAGTCTTCAGTATTTTTAGCTTAACTGTAGCTCTGTACCTTAAATATGAAAATGATCACACTTGTGTCAGATTCCCTTTCTTGATATTTGTGGTATACAAAACATTTTGTTGTTGATGGTTGCTTGCCTTTTTTTTTCTGAAACATTAGTATTACCAATTAAAAAAACCCCCTTATTACCAATTTGACTTGTTTGAGTGTTCACAAAGAGCTAAAGTATCTTTGTTTTTCATCCTAGGACTGCAACGAAAGCACTATCCTGTTGCGCAGGGCTGATTTAGTCTATATTCTGTCAGCAGCTACACAGACATTGTTGAGGAGAGACATGTCACTCAATAGAAGATTGTATGCATGGTTGCTAGGTACTGTACAACACACCATGATATTCAATATTCTGAACACCTAAGAGAAAAAAAATAAATCCGTGCTTAAACATGTAATACACTTTTTCAGCAGTTAATGAATGACGATGAAAGTGTTGTGTAGTTGCCATTTATTTATTAAGTACCTGATTAATAAAATTAAGCATTCATTTGGCAAACAGGTCTTCTCTTCAGAGGTGAATTCATTTCACTGTCCTGAATCACAGGGTATCTGATGAGTTGTTTCTGGTCCTGTCCACAGTTTATTCTGAAGTGGTTCAGTGGACTGAAAGGAGCGGGGTGCTATTTTAATCTCTCTCTTCTGGAAGTAATAGTCTATTGATCCCATGTGGGTTTAATTGTTAAGGAGGGGCTATAAGAGAGGTATAGCTTTTCCCCATCTGCCTCCTTTTAACAGTGTAAGAAGAAGCTAAAAGTGACAGGGCAGCAACTGCAGCCATGTAGTTGCATGAAAGCTGCCTTTGCTGACCCCATGTCTGGATCTGGCCTTAGTTTTGATTCATGTTCAGTGTAGCACATCTGGATGCCCCAAACTGTGGTATGTGGCTGTCCTTGGGCAGTATATGAGCTAGTTTCAAGCAAAATGTTGAAATGACACAGGTTAAAAATGCAGTGTAATGTCAATATTTGTATAAATGACGTGTATGTAGTGCTCTGTGCTGTAGTGTTTCTCTGTACTCCTGATGCCTCTGTTTATCTTATAGGCTCTGACATTAAAGGTGGTACTTTTGCTCCAGACTCAACAACTTCTGAAGACCAGGCTATTTATTTCTTTGGAAAATATTCTAAAGATCTTTTGGTTGAGGTTAGTGTTCATTGTATACAGATGTATTTATGATCCTTTTAAATGTTAGTACAAACTGTGTCTAGAATTTTTCGCTGTGCCACTTGGTTTGTCCTTCACTTTCTGTCCCTAAAGATAACATCCTTTTGATGGTTTTATTTTCATCTATCTAAATGCCTGCTGTGCTATATTATCCCAATATTGTATGTGCTTACAGTACAAATGGAATCTAATGAAACCAAAGGGTAGCATCTTTGATGAACTACCTGAATTATTTAAAAATGCTTTTCTGAATAAGATCAGCTCTTGAGTACAGATGATGAGATGTCATTGATTTGTCCACCCTGTATGGGAAATAAAAGTTCGGTTCTAGTTGGTACTAAACAAAATCAAATTTAGAAACACTTCATGCCTTAATAAAATGGCAGTCTCTCTTCTGCATGTAACCTTTTGGTGTTTTCTTTTTACTAGAGTTTGATTGAAATTTTACATCAGAAACTCCCAGAGTCTGATACAGAGGAACAGCATCAAGCTTATTTGAAACCCTTCCGCATCCTAATCAGTCTCCTTGACAAACCTGAGATAGGTAATGTTGTTTGTCACTTCTCTCATGACTGCTAACAAATGTTAAAACTTGGTGTTCATTGCCTTTGAGAGCAGGACTCAAGACAACACCCTGCACCATTCTTCCGAATTCTGAACGTGTGTGTGTTGTGTATTAGTGTGCAGGGGGCTGTGTTGCTTGCCTTGGACCGTGTTCAAGACGGTGCTCTGGAGCACTCTCTCCAGGTTGTCTCTGGCTCTCCTTGTAGAGTGCGGGACTACAGTGTCTGGAAAAGCAACAGAGTCATGAGAGTCTGACACAAGTGTATAGGAAGGCCTTCAAGGTAGCCTATGGCGGTACTGCTGCCGAAGCGGTACCTGCAGGTGCTCCAGCTGGAAATAACCTGTTGCTGGTGTGGGGAGGCAGGGGTGTCACTGTCAGTGGTGCTATCGGCTTGTGCCAGCCTGACGCTGCTGTGGGAGCTATAGTTTGAGACTTCATGACTGAGCTGAGAAGAATTTCCTTCTCTTCCTTGTGTCATGCGTTTGTCCTGTTCTGTACGTGAAGTTGCCAGCACCAGAAGGGTGAGGCTCTTCAGGTCCTTATTTTAAAGGGCAAGTTCTCCTTTCTATATCAAAAAATTAAGCCAAAGTGACTTAACAATTTTTTAGGATTTAGTAGCATTCTGTAAGAACCATGTATGTACAGATAAGTCTTTGAAATTATAGTCTGTGAATTTGATAGTTATGAGAAGCCTATGGACTGGTTAACTGGCATTTGTTGGAAGCTAATAGAGTCTTAATGACTGACTGGATCCCAAAGTGGTGTTCTAGGTGTTATACAGAGTGGTGACTGTTGACTAAGCCCATAGACTTAGAATAAAATTCATGTACTGAGACTAAACTCTTGAGCAGCCGTTCATTTTGCAGCCTCCTGTATCTGGTAAGCTTATCTTCTTTCATGGGTCAGGAAAATCCTTCTAAGCACAGTTCCTGTTAAAGAATTATCAAAGCACTGACAGGAAAAGTGACAATTCTGTATTGCTTATCCAACAAATGAATGCTACGTTAGTAGAAACAGCTGTTAGTCTGTTTATAAGACAGTGGTGCTAATGATTCCTTCTGCTGGTTTTAGCTGATTTTTAGCTGTTTTTTAAAAAATCAGTTGCAATTAAAGCCTCTTATATAAAGTGTTTTTATTTCCTGACAAAAATGCTGAAGAGACCAAGGTTGTTACATTATAAATTTATTGATTAATCTTAACGTTGAAAGTAGATGACATACTACCCTATTATTTATTTTATTTGGCTGACGATCAGTGTTAATCTGAACTACAAATAAGGGTTATTTAGCTGAACTGTATTATGCAGTTTAACCTTTCTGTTGTAGTTGGCACACAAAATATAACTTCTTGAGCCTTAAGCCAATATGACTTTCACTTCCTTTTGAAATGGATTTAGCAATGCAACTTTTTTTTTTTAAAGATAGCAAACTAAAACATAACAAAAACCTTTGACCTTTTCTGCTACTCTTTAACTTTTAACTTTTTTATTGCTTTTTAAAAGCACTTACTGGAATGCTTTATATACTACTGTTTTTTTAATGGTTCCATGTTTAGGGTCTTATACTTACCATTTGTACACCTCCTCTGTAGTCAATTTCAAATAAAACAAAAAAGTGCTGCCCCTTGAAAACTGGATTTAGTTGTTGGGGCACACCTAACACATCTATACTTTCTTCTTAAAACTGTTTATAAATATGCATTTTTTTTATATATATGTAAGCATTTGAACTTCCTCAATTTTTCTGGCTTCTGTCCCTCAAAATTTAATCAAAACTACTATGTTAAATGTGTATTAGGAAATCTGCTTGTTTTCCTTATGGATACAGATGTGGTGATTATTTTTGCCACATGAACTGCGGATTTATGGTTATGAGTATGCCCACTTACAAATGACTGAAGTGGAGGTGCCTTACTGAAGTGACTTAAGTGTAATATAGAACCAGTGCTATGGCTTTTCCATATCTTGAGTTACATTCCAAATATCACTTTAAAAAGTTCCTAAAATGAACAATAGGTGGTATTTAACTAGAATTTAAAACAAACAAACAAAAAAACCCACAAATATTTAACTCCATATTTAATTTTATTTTAACTGGAAAGTCTGACTTTTAAAAAGCCATGTAAGCATTTTCTTTTTACTTGGGTGATGGTGTTTTTTTCAGTCGAGCTACCCCTAATTTAAGCCTATACAAGTTTGTAATTGAGCTGCCTAGCAATCACTTTGGTACAACTACTGGATTCTTTTTTTCTTTCAATTGTAGGGCCGCAGGTTGTTGGGGATCTGTTCCTTGAAGTTATTAGAGCCTTTTATTCCCACTGCAAAGATTCACTTGGTTCTGATCTCAAACTTAGCTACAATCAAAGTGGCAACATACTTGCAAGGTAGAACAACAAGTTTTTAACTACGAACTGAAACTATCATTTATATAAGCTAGCTTATTAAAATCTAACCAGTTTAAGAAAGGTTAAATTTTTAACAGTGACCTGTACAGAAGATGAGATTTTTCTGCTTCCATTTTTCCAAATAGATGCTTGATTTCTCTTTGATTAGCAGCGAAGAAAATGAAGTACACTGCATATGACTGGTGTTGATTAAATTCAGTTATATTGGCCAAGAATCAGTCTGGTGACAGAATTCTCAGTCTTTTGTTTTTCAAAGTTAAAGGCTTGATTTCTTTCTTCTGGGAGAAAGATACTCAAACTCTAGCTATTCCAGAATGACTTGGTCCTTGATTTAAAACAATCAACGTGTTTTAGCTTCTAGAAAAAGCAGGGGGGAAAGATTTTTAGAACACATCAGCTAACACTGTGATGTGCACACTCTTAGAATCTTCACTGACATCTGTTTCTCTTTTTCTTCCTTTTTTTTTTCTTTCACACAGTGCAATCAAAGAGAACAAAAATGCTTCGGAAATTGTCAAAACAGTCAATTTGTTGATCACATCCTTAAGCACGGATTTTCTTTGGGATTACATGACCAAATGTTTTGAAGATTGTTTCAGGTGTTTACACTGTCAAACAATAGTGCTGCTCTTAAAAATGCTATTTAAGAGCTATCTGTGTAAGATAATGAAGTTTACTGAAGCATTTAAATTCTGGAAGGGACATAACACATGTTAAAATCAGGCAGATATGTAAGTTGCATCCTAAAATAATTCAGGAATGCAAACAGGTAAACAATTAGATGGAAATCTGCCCCTCTACTCCACCCTGATGGGACCCCACCTGGAATACTGCGTCCAGCTCTGGAGCCCCCAACACAAGAAAGACATGAAGCTGCTGGAGTGAGTCCAGAGGAGGGCTACCAAGATGGTCAGAGGGTTGGAGCACCTCCCGTATGAGGACAGGCTGAGAGTTGGGCTTGTTCAGCCTGGAGAAGAGAAGGCTCCAGGGAGACCTTATAGCAGCCTTCCAGTACCTGAAGGGGGCCTACAAGAAGGCTGTGGAGGATCTTTTTACAAGGGCCTGCAGTGATAGGATGAGGGTTGATAGTTGGAAGCTGGGAGAGGGCAGGTTTAGACTAGATACAAGGAAGAAATTCTTTCCTGTGAGGATGGTGAGGCACTGGAAGAGGTTTCCCAGAGAAGCTGTGGCTGCCCCCTCCCTGGCAGTGTTCAAGGCCAGGTGGTGGGAGGTGTCCCTGCCCATGGCAGGGGGGCTGGAACTAGATGATCTTTGAGGTCCCTTCCCACTCAAACCAATCTATGATTCTATGAAACTAGCAACCTGAGAACAAAAGAACTTACTTTCAAAATGGCAGCTGGAGGAGGAAAAGGTTTGGGAGGGGAGGTGGAGAGATCTTCCTTGGAAGAACAAGTGGTTTTTTGAAGAAGAATAAAGATATCTCTTTATCTCTTTCTAATATAAGAGATTATACTTTAAGTAGTAAGATTGTGTATAGCGATTCAATCTGAAAGTTATAAGCACTTTAGCATCCCACATGCAAGCTACAGTTTAGGTGGTTTTGACAGAATGTTTTATCCTGCTGTATTAGAAGTCCCATTTTACTTTGCTTCAGAAAGCCTAGCTGTTCAGTATTTTGTGCTGGTTTTAATGAAGCTTTTTTATTGTAACAAGAATTTTGACAGGAAAAAAGCTTACATAATAATGTTTCTCTCAATCCAGAAACAAAACCACACAGATGAGATATTCTCATGAAAATATTAGTACTCCTCCTACAATTTCAGAGCTCTGCACACTATTGGTGTTTCTTCTTGACGTGATTCCTTTGGTAAGGCAACCTGAAGTTAACTGCTTCAAAGTCTTAAGAAACTTAAAATCAAATAATTCATATTGTGATTACTTAAAATGAAAACAGGCGAATTGACATACATATGTGTATGCATGCAATGTCCTGCGAAGTATAGTTTTATGTGCTGACTTACGGCTACCTGTGCTACTGCCTAGCAAAATAAAAATTGTTTGCATTTTAAAATATAGTGATTCTATCAAAGGAATGAAAATGTGTACCTTTTGCTTCTTGTGTAAATAATTTCCTGGGATTTTTTGGTCTCTTAGTAGCTGGCTGACTATCATAAGATTTTTAGGGTATGATTCAGTGTTCATAATGTAGAATGAAGAAAGAAGGAATAGCATTGAAGCAAGTTTGTAGGGCTTAACCATTCATGAACCGTCTTTATCAATCATTGATCAGTGTTGCTAGACAGCTGAATAATAATATGTGGTAACTATTTTAAACAATGCTTATTTATTTTAGGAACTCTACTCTGAAGTGCAGACTCAGTATCTGCCACAAATGCTTAGCTATATGGTGCAGTCTCTCATGGAAAATATGGAAGTCTTAGGTTTACCAGAGCTCACTCATGCCTTAAAGACCTGTTTTAAGGTGCTTAGCAAAGTGCAAATGCCCCCTTCCTATTTGGACATTGAGACAGGAAGTGGAAATGGGGTAAGTGTTTTTCAACTACTCATAGCTGTTTAAAGTTGTTAGTGACATAACTTATTTTAAAATGCTAATTCTCCTAACTTAAACCTAGATAACTGTAGCAACAAATATTTTTGAAACTTACCTTCTTTGGCCCCTTCCAGAGCTATCTGATGCCTTGTTATTCTTGACTTGTTTGAATTATTTGTGACAGTGAAGAGTATAGTCTTTTCTGAAACTGGGGCTATAATCATACCTCTTGAGAAGAATGTGTTCTTAACAGTTTTGAAAAGGCACTCAGCATCATGAAGTTGCTAAAGATCCAAGTTGCCAAATTAAGACCAGCTTTACAGCTGGTTATGTCTGCAAGACTTTCAATTAATATTTTAGTTTAAGACAATGTGGTATTATTTGTGTGCAAGAGACCATAATAGGGAATGAGGAATAGATGGCATAAAGCAATCACACAAGCACAGCCTGACAAAGTTTTGCAGTAGAACGAACACGTGCATTTCACTAGAAATAATGCAACATATGTAACAATGTTCTAGTAGTGAATTGATTTCAAGGAAACATTTCCATTTCCTAAGTAGCTGTAGCTATGGGTCTGTTGGCTCATCTGTTTGATGAGTCAAGGTGTGAGGATTATACAAACATTTGTTAGGTTTAAATGCAATTGAATTGAACTGCTTACAAATAACTATGTCTCGTGATTTTTGTAAGAGTAATCTGTATCTGGAAATTGCAAATACTAGGGGTTTTTCCCCTGTCATTGCTGTTCCTCAGTGCCTGACACAGTTCTACATAGTTTAAAATGATCTATGCAATGCCGCATTCACCACATTAACATTTCTGTTTTAGAGCCCAGTGAAAAATGAAAATGTGGACATAGCCTTGGAGACTAAGTCTGTGCTGCCGGAGGAGGATGACACTTCGTTCCCTCCCCTGAAGTCAGAAGACAGTGGCATTGGTCTAAGCACTTCCTCCCCAGAGCTCTCACAGCACTTGGGGTTGCCAACTGTGACCCTTGAGAGAGATGATGTCTGGAAGAAAGGGGGGAGCATTCAGAAGACTTTGTATTGCATCCAAGAGCTGGTTGCCAAGTTTTCCAGTAAATACATTTTTGGGGTGCAATTTCAAGAAACAAGTAATGAAAGCATCTCAGCAATGAATCTGAGTGGAAAAGAGAAAAAAGAGAATGGCTACAGATTACCTGAAAGTGCTAGCAAGAAAAAGAGCCCATGGGATGCAAAGCAAATCACTGTACCTCAGTTTAAACAAATGCTTTCAGACTTGTTCTCAGTTCGAGGGTCACCGTTCAAGAACAAGAGTTCTAATCCTCTTCCTTCTGACTGCAGCTTTAGTAATAAAAAGGAAAAGGAGGAAGAAGAGTGGGACTTAGAACAAGTAATGCTTGTCTTGGGACCCCTTAGAGGTGACTGCAAGGAAGCTTTCTCTGCGGCTTGTCATCTTTTGTTGGATTGCACTACATTCCCAGTCTATCTTTCAGAGGAGGAGATGGAACAGTTGTATCTCTCTCTGTTTCAGGTTCCTGGTAAGAAAAGATTCCTTTACTGGGCAACTTGAGCATTTGAGGGTGCAAACAGCAGTGTGAACTTGGCTATTTGCAAGATGTGACGAGGGCCAGTAGTAATTCCTTTTGACAGGGCTGAAGGCAAGTTGCACGTGAATTAACGACTTGCCCACATCAGCATTTGTTTTGTGTCTTGCAGCTGGGGGACAATTTTTACCAAGCCTTTCAAATTCACATTCTTTTGAAAGTTTTCACTACAAAACTTGTAGCTGAAGGAATGAAAAGACCTTCTGGCCTGTAGAGCCTCGTGGCATGGTTCAGGATTTTCAGGAAATCCGTCCCCCTCCCAAAAGAAAAAAGATGTGTTAGAGGAAGGTGGGTGTGGGTGGAAAACTGGAGCTGTAACCCATAACAGAAGAAAAACATCTCTTGCCCTAACCCTCAGAATTCAAAGGAGTCCGATGCCAGCTAACACATAAGAATAGTCTTGTATAATTGGAGGGCCTGTTTGTTCTGGGAATTCATTCATTAGCTTAAGGAGGAGCAGTTATTGCCTTGAAAGCTAGTTGACAAGATAGGTTTGTAGTGAATGGAGAGGTGAGAAACTGGAAATTTGGGTTCTTTTCCTAACCTGACTATAAATTTCTGCTGTTTTCCTTAGCGAAGTGATGATATCATCTTATATATCTATAATGACATCATTATAGACGTCATCTACATGGATGAGCTGTCTGCCTGACATAGACGCTTTTGCGTATTTGCAGCGTCTTCCCTGTGGTCAGCAATGTAGCTGAACTTAGAAGGCTTGCTTTCATAGCTGGTTTTCTTTGGAATATCATCCTAGGATTATAGAAGTTTATTTTCAAGATTCTTTTCAACTGCACACCCTGGAGACTACAGTAAGGTTTAAAGCCAAAAGGAGAGAACCTCTGATAATGAAGGTCTGGGTTGAATGTGATACAGAAATTGCCTGATGTCAAGAAGGAAGAGTGGTCATTTTGTTCTGGTAGTAAAGCTGTTAAAACATTTGGTTTTGAAGCCAGAGGTATGAACTCGTACTTCAGATTGTCTCCAGTCAAACCTTAATAAAACTTTATCTGATTGATTATTCACTCGGGAGGGGCAAAGATAGCTTGACTCAATGTTAGCCATATCAGTTCATTGTATGCTGCATGGTTTCTGAAGTGATATGTCTCAATGCTACCCTTGGATCAGCAGACCTCTGTTTGTTTTGACAGTGACAGCTGGAAAACAGCAGCTGTAAAAACTAGTTGTGAATAAACATAAACTGGAAAGCAGAAGTCCACTAGTTAGTGGGTTACTGAGGTCCTGCAAGGCTTTCTGCTGGGAGAAATAGGGAAAGAGCTTTGAAGCAAGTCCCTTCTGAAGTAAAAGGGACTTGATAATAGTATGACAGTTAGATTTGAGCAGTCATTTTTGCCTCTTGGTCCTGTGAGCTTGATTGAAGAATTCTTGAAAATGTGACCATAACCTTGAGAGTATTCAAAAACTTTTTTCTCACTTATCTTCTCAGGAGGTTGTGATGCCAGCTTCCCTCTGTGGCTGAAGTCCTTAATGACAATATGCTGTTGTGTGAATGACTGCTATGTTCAGAATGTGTCCATCTTCACACTGCTGGAGGTGATCAACCATTCCCAGTCACTGGCGCTTGTGATAGAAGACAGAATGAAGAGGTACAAAGTGTCTGGCCACAACCCCTTCTTTGGAAAGCTACAGATGGTTACCCTTCCTCCCATTGCTCCTGGAGTTCTAAAGATCATCTCAGAGAAAACAGACTTCTACCAGGTGTCAATTTTCGTTTTCTTTTTTACCACCCAACTACACTGAACCTCTAAGGGTGGGGTGGGAAGCAAATGTTATCTGTATGGATGTTTGGGGGCAGCATGTTTGTGTTAAAATGACACACTGGCGCTTTTGGTTTTTTTTTTTGCTTCCACAAACAGTTGCATTGTTCTTAGTGTGCTTCCTAACAGAACATTCAAAAGTGGGAGTTTATTTTCAAATTGCTAGTTGGTTTTGTGCCGAAATTCTTGAGGGGTAGGTATAGTTGTTTTCTGACTTGAAGGGTTTGGTTTCATTAGCTGGAAAGCTACACTTTAGAGAACTTTGATACCACTCTAAGTTTTTAGATAAAAGAAAATGTTAGTGGGCAAATAATAATGAAGAAATTCTGTCCTCCTTGTTTTGAGTATATATGTTTCAAAGATGCTTTCCTTCTGACCATTTATTTAGTGTTAGTATGAGGGTTGGTTCCAAGGTCTTTTTCTTAATTACTGTGTTTCCAATTGCTGTGCCTGACATATGTACAATCTGTTACGCCTTGACCCAGAAAATGGACGCAGAAATGCCTTTCTTAACTTCTGGTGCATGCACATTTGAATTACCTGTCCTGCTAGGATAGGAAAGTTGCATTCCTTTAGGTCTGAGTGTATGACCTGAATTCTAGCTCTTTGCTAAAGTAACACGATTTGGAAACCCCTCTTGGTAATAGAGAACATTTATGCAATGGAAAGCTTTTAAGTCAGGGAAGAAATGGCACGTCGTAGTAGTAGTAGTATTAATTGTTGTTATTTTTTCCCTAGAGAGTAGCTTATGTGCTCTGGAATCAGCTGAACAAAGAGACACGGGAGCATCATATTGCATGTGTGGAACTGTTTTACAGGCTGCACTGCTTGGCACCATCAGCAAATATCTGCGAAGACATTATCTGCCACGCACTTTTGGATCATGATAAAGTAAGTCTTGTATTCACTGAAGCGCCTTCATTGCTGTAGAGTTGTTCCTGTGCTTCCCAGACTGCCTCCAGTTCCCCTCCACCACCCGTCTTCACTCCCCGTGGTCCCTCTGCCTTCCAAAAGTCCTACAGACTCTGTCTGTGCCTTTACAATTCCCTGGGATTTATTCATCATAGGACTACTGCTAAACTTAGTCCCTGGATACAAGCTCTATCAGTTAATACTGGAGCCTTTTTAGTTTCATCCTAAATCATGTAATACCTAAAAACTAGCAGGTTTTGTCAGTGTTTCCAAACTGACCCAGCTCCACCAATAATTTTATTTTGTGTTGATTTTGTAAACTTCATATTCGAACAAAAGATTTTATTACCTTGTTAGCGTATGTCAGCATAATGTTGACCCTCTGTCCACCCTAGTATTTAGATCTCATAAGAAAGCTATATTTTAAGTGAGTTAGTTAATAATTATTTTACTTGCCTAGTTTAATGACACAGCAGTTCCTTAATAACTTACAGTATATTTGTGAGAAGTGCCTTGCACAACAGAACTTAAAACAGCCACCTTCATTCTTTGGTATTGTTTTCATATCTTTGGTTTTGCAATTTTGAAACTTAAAAGTTTTGAAATATTTTAAAAGCGTTCAAACAAAATTACCAATAATAAACACTACCTAATATACCAATGTCTTCCTGTTTGTCATCCAACTTTTAAACCTCCCTAACACCAAACCAAGACGAAAATGTTTAAACACAAGAGTCCTGAAATACATTTTTGGTGTATTGGCAAGTCTTTTTTTTTTTTTTTTCACTCTGACAACCACTTTGGCTGTTAAGTTTTGCTTGTGCATTCGCAGATACATGGCATTTTGGTTTAGTCTGTTGGAAAATACGAAAGTGCTCTCAAACTACCTGAGAAGGATTAGCAGTCGTCTGCACAATAACTGTTGTTCTGCTAGAGGTTTAAAAATCACTAAAACTTACTTGGAGATAAATGCTGCAAAAAAATATCTATCTGTCTTGTTTCCTTGCAAAGGGGACAAGGCTGGAAGCACTGTTCAGATTTTCTGTCATGTGGCATCTGACCAGAGAGATCCAAGGCAGCAGAGTGACTTCTCACAATCGATCCTTTGATAGGTATTTTCTATTTCCACTGGCTTAGACTTACGTTTATGTATTTAACAATATCATGCTTTGTTCTATTCTTTTTTTCTGAGGTAGGAAAAAGTTCTCTGTAGAGAGAACAAAAAATGAGCAAAAGGAAGATCTTCAACTTCCTTGTGCTATTATCTTTGCAAACCACTCTGTGTGCATGGTTCATTGCGTGAAGGATGTTGCTGTAAAAACAGAAAGAGCTTCATATATGAAGAGTAGCTTGCAGACAAGTTTCTGCATAGCAAACATTTTTTATCTTGGACCAGGTTAGATTATTTTTTTTTCCCCAAGAAAATAGAACCAGCTACTTGTGCAAAAATAAATAAATAATAAAATGTTATTTTAGTTTTACTTCCTGTTTATGAGATCATAATATTTGTATAAAATGAGACAAAAGCATTAAGCGTCTTTCTGAATAAATATGTGAAATAACTTTAAAACATGCTGCTTTTCTAGAGTGTGAGTATATGTATGGCCTTGCTTCTACAAATGCATGTGTACTTGACCTCAACTCGGTAAAATGTGCATGATCAAGCTATTGTTAGCAGACGTGAGCCATTGGCTGGTACTTATTTGAACATGCACTATGTCTGTTCCCTGCCACTATTTTGTTGTTTGCATTAACTTTTTTAGGGATTTCAATTGTACTTCTTCGTTCTGATTTCTCCACTCAGGTCTCTGTTTGTGGTACTGGACAGTCTCAATTGTTCAGATGGCGCAATTGGTGCTGCAGCACAGGGCTGGCTGATCCGTGCTCTTTCACTTAATGATGTTGCACGGATTCTTGAACCAGTCCTGCTGCTGCTGCTTCATCCAAAGACACAGCGCACGTCCATCCACTACATCAAACAGAAAAATTCAGCAGGTAAAACTGTTCTTGGACTGAAACTGTAAGTGCTAACATAGCATTGCATACTCCTGAACACCTACTGAAGGTAGTCTCTGAAGTGCAATGGTATCCTATTACCGTGAGTTGTCTTGTATCGGTTCCATAGATTCCTCCTCATCCAAGTACGTCTAGTGATGCCTAAAACAGAGTTCAGGAGTAAGTCATGCTAGTTGAAGGCCTAATGATAATTTCTGTTATGGTGGCTGCACCTACACTGATGATTTGGATTGCTCCCTGCTTTGCTCTGGGATCTAGTCCCCCACTTCTTATTGCCGTTCCCAGATGATCCACACTGCATGTGTGTTCACTGTTCACAGGATCCCTTCTCGAGCAAAACTAGGTCTGCAACCAAATGAAATCTAGGAGCAGTCTGGTGACTATGTCAGTCCAGGAACTGTTCTAGTAGGCAGGATGGACAAGCAAATCTCACTTTCTCTGCCCAGTCTTGCCCCAGCACACCATGCACCCTCATACCATGTTTCTTTATTCAGAAACCATGTTAATGATTCCCTCAGCATCTTGTTAAAATAATCAGACAGGTTGTGAGGAACATCTTGCTATTTAGGCACACCACACACAAAAAAAAACAGAGGAAAATGCAAACTTAGTTCTGCTAGCTTCTAAAAATTAAAATTTGTCCAAAGAAGATCCATCTTGAATCAAGAGGAGAGCTGAGCCCTTGTGGCATATGTCTTGAGGTATCCCAGAACTAGCTTGTAGAAGCAAAGAGAGATGTTTGGAATTGAAGATGACCTCCAGCCACCCAAATTTAGGAATACGGGAGGGCATCTTTACCTTGAAAGGCTAAACTTGACAGTTGGAAGATGTCCATTTTAAGACCTGTAATGAGAACCATTGTGAACCACATCTGTGTGTCAAATGTGGAACAGGCAAGTGTGACAGAGCTGTGAGGAGTAGCTGAGGCAGACTGAGACAGGTATGGAGCCAGGCTTCATTCCAAGTGTGGAGTCCTATGGAGGCTGGAAGTCTGCTCAGGTTTGGGATTGCTGGGAGTAGTATGGATATGAGACTGCACCATTTGGCCCAAGTAGCCAAGGTTGTTTCCTAGAGCAGAGCAGGAAGTCAGTGGAGAAGTGTCTGGTAATTTTGTGTAAAGAAACTTCCATGTCACCCGTCTTGTCTCATTACTCTCAACCTAGATGTCAGCTTGCATAATTGTTTTTCTGTCTTTATTGGCAAATAGTTAGATGACAGACTATAGCATCCAAAGGGACCTGTTTATTAGATGCTATACAAACACAGAGCTAATATATTCCTTCCTTGTTCCACAGCATGAAAACAAGGAAAACATTAGCTCTTAAAAAAAATAAATTAAAAAAAAAAATTAGAAAATTCCTCTATTGCTATCCTTCTCATTTCCCTTCTGATCTCAACAAACATTTTATACTCGGGAAGCATAAAAAATGAATTGTTACATCTAGGGAGTCATAGCGTAAAAGAAACAGCATGTGCTTTATGTTTTAATCCTATTCTCTTGTGCTTACAGTAGGTTAGGACTGCCCTACCACTTTAAAAAAAAAAAAAATAAAAGATCATTTTTGCCTTAACCCTTAACTGCCTTGCAGGTTTTTTTCAGCTCCATTTGTTATAATTAATAGTAGACTAGAGCAGAGTAGCTCTTTAACCTTTTTTTGTTCTCACAGTGATTTATTCAATATAAAGCATGTTGTGTGAAATAAATGATTATACGCTTTTTGAAAAAAAAAATTTCTTTTCAGAAGATATACATGATTGGCTTTGCAAGAAAAAGGCCTCTTTGAAAGAGTCTGGCATCTCTGAGAGCAATTCCGAGGAAAACCTTCCATTGAGCCAGTTTACTACCGTGGATAGAGAAGCAATTTGGGCAGAAGTGGAAAAAGATCCAGAGAAGCCAGAGTTAAAAAATGAACAGTATGAAAACGATGGCTCTTGTAATCCTGTCATCTTACATGAAGTAGATGGTGACCATGATAATAGTGAGCACACAGAATCAGCAGACACCAGCACAGGCCATGACAGTGAAAATACATCCTCTTTTTCTGCTTCTTTGGAGTTGCAAGAAGTGAGCAATGAGGGCAATGACAGTGCTGCCACTGATGGCAAAGAGACTGCAAACCACATGAGTTCTCCCAATGCCTGCCTTCCTGAATGCTCCAAATCCAGTATAGCCCTAAACCTTGTGCGTGCTGACTCTGAGAGGACTCAAGCATCAGAGTCTCTGTCAAGTGATGAAGAGGTGGACCTGGAACTTCAGGAGATTACCCATTCTAGGTTGCTCAAGCAGCAGAAGGAAAAACGGGAGATGGTTGAGGCTCTGTTCAAACACATGCTGCTATATTTGCAGCCTTATGATTCTAAGAGGGTATTGTATGCTTTTTCTGTTCTGGAGGCAGTGCTTAAAACAAACCCTAAAGAATTTATTGAAGCTGTAGCTAGTACGAGTATGGATACCAGCTCCACAGCACATTTGAATCTCATTTACAATCTCTTAGCTCGCCATCAGGAAGCTCTTGTAGGGCAGAGTTTTTATGGCAAGCTTCAGACTCAGTCCCCAACCATGTGTCCCCATTCTCTTCTAATAGAATTGCTCACTTACCTCTGTCTCAGTTTTCTGCGCTCATATTATCCATGCTACTTGAAGGTCACACACAGAGATGTGCTTGGCAACAGAGATGTTCAGGTAAAAAGTGTGGAAGTTCTGATCAGAATGATGACCCAGCTAGCTACCATGGCAAAGGCACCAGAGAATAAGAGCATAGAGTTCATACGCAGTTTGCTAGGAAGATGCAAAATTCAGGAGTTTGTTCTTCTTTCTTTGTCTGCATCTATGTATACAAGTCAGAAACGGTATGAACTGCTTATGGCAGATGGAGTTAATAATGTTACTGAAGAAGAACTCTTTGAAGAGAGCCTAATCAATTTTGGGCATGACCAAATATGGAGTGAACACCCACTCCAGATTGAGTTGCTGAAGCTTTTGCAGGTACTGATTGTCTTGGAGCACCATCTTGGACAGACTCATGAGGAGCAGGAGAATCATCCAGACCTCTCTAAGGAATGGCAGCAGGCTCTTGATTTCCAGCAGGCTATTGGTGCAATGCAGTATGTCTATCCGCACCCGATAACTTCACAGGGATTATTTGTCTCTGCTGTGGTTAGAGGTTTGCAACCAGAGTATGGCTATGGGATGCATCCCACTTGGGTAGGCTTAGTCACATGTTCCCTGCCCTATTTTGGGAAGTCTTTAGGCTGGACTGTGGCACCATTTGTTGTACAGATCTGTAAAAACCTGGATGAGCTTGTCAAACAGTATGAAAATGAAGCTGTGAAGTCATCTGCAAAAGCATCTGCAAGGTAAGAGAAGTCGCAGTGTGGGATTTGTTCTGCTGAAACCTTTTTAAGTTCCTCTTACTAGAGTGTAGTGCATGGTGATTTACTGGTTTAGCATTGTGGCTCCCAGAGTTTGATCCTCAAACCCTGCTGCACATGCAGGCGTCTGTCCTTTGAGCCCAGTAGAGGCAGTATTGTTGCAGCAGGGCTCACTGTGGTTGCAAGAATGACCAGCAGCTGTGATACTTCCTGTCCCCCTCTGCCTGCCATCCAAGTAAAAAGAAGTTCCCAGTTTTGACAAGACTGAGGATTTTGGAGGACTAATTGAGGAGAGACGCCCTGGAGAAGAAAAATACAGTGATACTGTTCAGAACAGGCAGTAAGTGAAAGGAGTAGGGAAAAATAATTGAACACTAAACATTTATGGTCAGGTGGGGAATAACTTTCTGAAAGATCTAGACAAGGAAACGGGGTTGTCCAAGCATAGTTTGTGAATCCTGTATTGATATTCCTGTCTGGTCATTCCAGTATTTTTTTAACTATTGAACAGAAACATTTCTACTGGAATTTTTAATCAAGGAAATACAACTTTGCCTGTTAACTTTTTTTTTTTTCCTTTCCCCCCCCCAAGCTTAACTTCTAAAAGAGAAAATGTTACTCCTGATTACCCACTAACCCTTTTGGAAGGTCTGACAACCATTGGTCACTTCTGCCTTCTGGATCACCCTAATCAAACTAAAAAGGTAAGTACCTGGTGCCTCATCACCAAGCAAGTGCCTCAGCACTTGTCAAAGCATGCGTCACTTTTTCATTCAGAGGTGCATATAAGTAGTAAAGCGCTTGTATGAGAAGATAACCTTAAAGAAGCCTCATAGCACACCAAAAGTAGTGAACTAAGTAAAAGTGTGAGGGAACGGGACTGAACTTAATTTTTTTGTTTGAAGACAGAAAAGTTAATTTAAAGCAGAAGATGTTTATGATGATCTTGGTCACAAAAATATTAGTCCTGTGTAGCTTGTCTACAGTTGCTCCGTCATTTACAAAGTCTTGTATTTTCTTTTGAGTTGATAACATGCATTTTTTTTTCCTATAACATTTGTCAGAAGAGGATATTATCCTAATAATTTCCTAGACAAATCAATTCTCTCTGTGCCAAAATAGTGAACAGCAAACTCAGTAGACCCTAATAGCAGCAGTTTATTTCAGAAATAGAAATTGAGTTATTTTTAAAGTTGTCATTGCAAAAGGTGACTATAATTCTCCTAATTATAGAATAAGAATAATCACTCTGTGGTGCATAATATAATGTATTTTAATATTGCTATTTTTGTTTTTTCTAGTCATCATGTTTAGCTGAACCTGCAAACCTGAGAAATGCTAGGAATGCCATTTTGGAAGAATTGCCTCGCATTATTAATACCATGTCCCTTCTTTGGAGCGTTATAAAGAGGGAAGACTCTCAAAAAAGACCAACTGACTTCTTTGGATCAACTAAAGGCTCTTCTTCGGTCTACTTTAAAGCAACCAAAGTAGGAGTTCTTTTAAACTGCTGTGTGTCTCGTTATCCTTATCATCCCCTTCCTTACCAGTGCATTTTACACAGAGTTCGTAGGAATAGTTTTGCCATTCCCCGAATGGTATCAGACCACAAAGTACTATTGAAGAACTCTCATGAGCTACAGGCTTGCACAGTACCTACCTACAAAAGTAGTTGGTTTTTTTTTTTTCCCCATTCTTTTTGCCCTTCTGCACCCTTAGCTGATCTGTTTAAATATTGCTTTTTCTGTGAGCTTCCGTAATAGCTGCTGTAGAGCCAACTGCCTCTGAATTGTCTGCACCTTCCACAGCCAGTAGAACATGTTCCTGGAGGAATAAAATAGTAGACTTTTTCCTTCTTCTGTGGATATTGGTAAATCATAGTATTGAAGAGAAGAATATAACACAATAAGTTATTTTTTTCTATTTTGCAATCCGTTTTCCAACAAAAGTGCCTTGAATCTGTAAGAAAGATACAATAACGCGTAAATAAATTGTCAAAACTACTCTGACTGCCAAGTATATAAAGAGATTCTTTTGTTGTTGTGTACTTTCTGAACATCTTGGGAAAAGGAAGAATGTTTTACAGACTGAGAGATAGCCTTTGCCTTACGAAGTTTACCATTGACAGTTTTGGGGTTTTTTTTTTTCCCCCTCTGCAGACATTAAGAACTAAAATACTGGACTTCATGAATCCATTGACAGCACAACTTGGAATCCAGTTGATGGCAGCAATTGCAGCAGTATGGAATAGCAAGAAACCTCACAGGAATCAAAGTAAAATCAAGGTGAAACTAAAGAAAGGCACCCTTAGTTTTCCAGCGTAAAGGCAAATGTTACATTTACATGATCAGTTAGAAACTCTGGGCTTGTTTATAGATACTTTGTGGTTTTTTACATGTGACAACAGCAAGCCACTGAAAAATTGCAAATGCTCTTATTTATACTTAATTCCACAAAGCATCAGGACTACAATTAAACCTAAATAAGTTATCAAATAAAGTAGTGTGGCACTTTGTCTGATAGTGATAGCCAAGTTTTCTATTCAATACTGGATTGCAATCTTAGGATTGCAACTTGCCAATTGTATTTTAAAGACCTTGAATCAGCTTCATTTCCAGAGAAAAGTGAGAGTTGTAGTATTCTCTGGAACTAGGCATTTATTCTGATTAGAACACCTCTTTCTTTTCTGCTTTCATTTGAGCGTAATGAAGTTGTTTTCATGAAGGTGTTGGGAGACCTGTATATGGCAAATTGTTGCATGCTGGATTTAACTTGTCTCATTTATGTTTTGTATAAGTATTGATATTTGAGTAATCACACCAAAAGCTGTTTTTTCAACTTAGTGTTTTGTCTGGTACAGAGATCTGAGGCTGTGTCTTTTATTTTGTCAGATTATTCCAGTGGCTAGTGCATCTCAGCTTATTCTTGTGGATTTAATATGTGCGCTTAACACATTGAAAATTGACACTATATTACATCTAGTGAAAGAGGTAGTCAAGAAACCATCACAAATCAAGGGCGAAGAGGTAACTATGAAGATAATTCCATTTTCTTAATATATTCTATTGTGGATCTATTCCAATGTGTTTTCCAAATATTGTTAGAAGGAAAGGTTGTTGGTTTGGTTTTTTGTTGTGTTTTTTGTTTTTTTTTTTTTAATCTGTGATTCTCTGTTGTTCCTGAATAAGTTACGTTTTCCAGAATGTGGTTTTCTGTGTCTTGATCCATCAGTGTAAGTAGGTTCTTCAGAATATTTTGCTAGAGAAGTTGCTGGTAATGAAAAGGTGTGGGATCTTGCAGTACAAAAGCTGCTGATAGTTTTTGTGGAATGGCTGTAGATAAACAACTCAGTGACGCCTTTCTGTCTTTCTGCCCTGATCTGAACAGTTAGAAATACTTCACATTGAGTCTGCTATTTTCAATTGACTTTCAAGGAACCCAGTTTTGCTACTATGCATGCCATTGTAGGAGCTCCTACAACTCTGAATAAACTGTAGCAGATATTCCAAAGTAATGTGACTGTTTCTGAACTAGGGTCCTCAGAATTCCCTGATACTGCTGTAGAGATAGTTTTATTGTAGTTTGTCACCTGTACAAGTGGCTTCTAAGAAGAGTGTGTTAACCATTGAACACAAGTATTCAACAGCTTAGACCTTTTTTTCTTATGGCAAATAATTGTGGTTTTGCTTTTGTTTTCCAGAAATCTTCTCTTGTAGATATTCCAGTGCTGCAGTTCAGTTATGCTTTCATTCAAAGGTAATTCAGTCATTACAATAAGAGAATTTTCTGTTTGACTCTAGTTAGGATAACAGCCAGCATCATTATTTCTGGTTTACTTTGATCTTCGTAGTCACAATGTCACAAAACACTTTTATGTAGAAACTGGTTATTGACACTTCATTGTTAAGTATTGTTTGTGTTATGACACAAAATAACTGGGCTGTGACATTGTGTTCCATTGGTCTGTTGATAATGCCAGCATGAAAGCCTCATTTCTTACTAATAGAGCAACATACTTCAGGCATCTCATTAGCAAGATACTTGTATAATTGCTTATGATATTTCTCCGTGTCTGTTCTGTGTTGCCAGGTGAATGGATAGAGAATTTCTAAATTCAGTAAAACTGCTATAGCTGCAGTCTGTGCTGGACATGTAGTGAGTTAGGCAATTGATTGGAAACATTGCTTTGATCAAAACTCTTCTTCACATACTTGGCTTTTCTCATACGGAAGCCTTGGGATATATCAGACTGTACAATATACTGTATGCAATAATCTGTGGAGATAAAGTAAGCTGGCATGCAGTGGAGTAGTTAGCTAGACTTTATTCCTTTTCTTCCCCCTGAAGACCCAGTCCTCTTACAGTGCTGGCTGGCATACCGCATGTGCTGCTACCATTTACTAATGTCTGCGTATTGCCTGTGCTACTGGGTACTTATACCATGTTGTTGGAACAGTTAGGAAAGGGCATGGTCTAAAGGACTGATCTTGATGGAAGCTTTGAGGCCACCAAGTTACCTCTGTATGTTGTTTTTTGGTTTTTTCCTTAACCCTAACTTCAGGCTTGGGTGTGTTTTGGTATTGTTTTTTTGGCAGACTGCCTGTCTCAGCCTTGCAGGAGAACTTCCAGTCCTTATTAGGACTTCTCAAAGAGTCTGTGCAGTTGAACTTGGCTCCTCCTGGACACTTTCTTCTTCTCAGGTAGTGTGTAAGAGAGGAGAAGGTTTATAGATGCATTGAGTAGACCTGTCCGATTACTAACTCTGAGTGAATTGCTTTTCCCACAGTACTCTGAATGACTTTGTGACTAGGACACCTACTCTAGAAAACAAAAAAGACCAAAAAGACTTGCAGGTACAGTGGATATATGTATATCTCTTAGTTCATAAATCTGGCACTGTACTTCTAAGTAAAAGTGGAGATGATCTGTACTTTGTATCTGAATTTACCTGTGCATTTTGGCTTAGGCTTGGTAACACATGACTTGAATAGGAGAGACATGATGCACAGAATGTCTGTAACAAAATTTTGTCAAAGATGCAGGAAATCACAGTGGTAACTGTGGACTTTTCAAAGCTGTTTTCCCTGGGTATTTTTATGATTTTTCTCAGAATTTATATCGTAACACAATGTGATGTCGTGAGTTCATGTCATATGTGTAAGTATTGAAATCTTAAACTTAGCTATGAAAATTAGTAGCATAATTATCCTTGAAGCTCATAGCTGTGTTTTGCAATGTAAATGGCTGTCAGCTCACCTTTTATGTAAAGAAGGGGTGGAGTAGAGCAGGATTCTCTTCCTATACTGATTGTGATTTCACCAAAACAGTTTAAGCCCTACCAACATGGATGCAGGTTTGACACTGAGCCAACATAACACAATGTATGAGGTGAGACAGTGTTATGGTTATAGTACTTCTGTGTGCCAACAGAGAAACTAAAACTCCACTTCTGCTTGAGAGTCTTGCCAGCAAGAGGATGATGATGACAAAAAGACAGTTTTGCCATCTTTCAATCTGATCAAGTGACCTCTGTTTTGCTTTGGATACTTGGGGTTTAGTTTCATTAGAGTGACCAGCTTTTCATTTCACTGGGAATTAAATATACTGAAGTGTGACATTGCCCATAGTTTGATGCTATGTCTTGCTTACCCCTAATAAAAAGACTGAAATATGAACAGATGGACTGCCATAAAATAACACCGTGCCTCACTTAGTGCTCTGCCTCACTTACTGTTCTCCAAATATAAAACGAACAGCGTTCAAAACAGTTTCGGAGGGGCTGAACAATTCAGATCATGTCTTTGACACATGACAGCTAATGTGTCAAGTGTGGCAGGACTGATGCCAAATTGATACTATGTTAATGCTAATGGCTTGCATGGAAAATCATAACTAAAACCTCCACGATAAGCTAACTTGGAAGTTTTTCGTGTTTCTCACTTTCTCGCCTGTTCTTATTTGAAGTGAGCAGTAGCGAGTTATCTTGAGAGCACAGATAGTTAAATCAGGGAAGTATTTATGTTTCTAAGAGATAAAAGTGCCTACTTCTGATCCTCCTAGCACTTCTCATATGAAATGGACTTCACTGGATTGGCCAAGCGATGATAGCTTTCATCTGATGCCACATTGTCTGGTTATATTATAGGAGGTGACCCAAAAAATCTTGGAGGCTGTAGGGACTGTTGCTGGTTCTTCTCTGGAACAGACTAGCTGGCTGAGCCGGAACTTAGAAGTGAAAGCTCAGCCTCAGATTTTACCAGATGACTTCAACATTGAAGATGTGAACGGTAATGTGGTTTTGTCTGACTTTCTGCTGCTTCATCTGTTCTGCTGTCACGGTTTGAGGCTGGGC